CAGCAACGCAAATACATCATCTTCCCGAAATCTGGAAATTATCTTTTCATATTACAAATAGACACTTTAATTTTATTATATGTACAGATATCAAATAGATCGTTGTTTGTAAATTTTATTTCATTGTTTTTATTTTATAGCAAGATTTATGAATAATTCAGTTCCTAGCAACGTGTAGGGTTATTAACATAACAAAGACTGTTAATTTGTGGCACGGTACGTAGACTATGTCTAAATTAGAATGTTATTCCCTTTCAATGACCTTCATAGTAGTGCAACTAATCGCGCTGCAGTTCTTAACCATTCACTCAAGCATTTTACGTTCAATTTGGAATGATGATCAATAGTCATTCACTTCAATCAGTACAGTTGATCATGTGACATCTATAAAGATCAAAAGGTAATTTTCTCTAAATTCGAGTCATAGGCATCTTATTCAAATCTTAATGTTTTTACAGTTTTCTAAGAAACCGCCAGTATCGATGCCAATACTGGTATTTCCAGATTATGATTTGTTATTTTTTTTTCGTTTGGTATTTATAATACAGCAAAACTGCATGTTTTTAATTTACCTTTATTGCCAATAAAGAGTTGCCGTTTTTACCGTTTTTTAACGGAACTTTTAAGATTCGAATTCGAAAGTTTTGAATCATTATGAAGTTGCGAAATTTCAGTGCCTTCAACTTTCAAGTTTTTATTTTATTTTTAAAGTTCTAACTGTTTATTTACTTCGACATCTTATATTACTTTAAGTACCAAGGATAAGTGTTAAAAAGGTTCAAGAAATGAAAATGTACTAACATATTGATTGTTTTTGTTTGCAAGTTACATTGTGATATATTTAAATGTTTATTTTATACAAAAATATTTATTTAATATATTCTTGTTATAGAATACATTAACGGTAAGTAAAACAATCAATCGCCTCTTCTTTTTCATCATCCACTTGCCCTTAACCCTTACGGAGCGCCGGCACAGTATGTGCTGCTCTTCCATACATATCAGGCGTCATATCTGAATCCACTTCTTTCTGAAGCATATCCTGTTTCACACAATCCATCCATACTTTCTGCGGTCTTCCTCTACCTTTGTAGCCATCCACATTCAATCTTAACAGTCTCTGGTTTGTGTCTCAAGACCACCTGAATTCACTGTTTGTCGGCTTTCACTGTGAAAAATGGTTTGGTTTTAGTCTTAAAGTAGCAATGTTGAAATAAAACAAATCGGACTAGAAACTTTAATTGGTAACCGCTTAGGTATCTAAAGCGCCTGTGAAAAATACTTAGCAATTATGCGATACTGTTATATGTCGTTTTATTACAAAATCACTCGAAATATCAGGTTCGTACTGTGATAGAAAGTCAAATATTTAAATCACTAAAAGATGTTTTTATTCGATATCTATATCTATTTGCATACCTACATTTTACAGAAGCTATAAATACTTGACAAAAGCGCCTGTCGGTAAAACAGAGCAAAATAACATATATGATGAAGAAACGGCCTTAACTTTTGTGTTCGTTAATACAAGTAATACCTTATTTTATGAATCGTTTGAATAGAATAAATAAAAGTCAATGAGTAATTTAAACAACTTTATTATGCATATCATTAAACTAAGTCATTAAAAATAAATATCACATTTCCTTTTTGACATATTATTTTTTTTTAAAAAGTCACTTCTTGTACTCGAGTTCTATTTATTCGATTTTTCTGTCTTTGTTTTAATCAATTTCTTTGTAATTTGTTAATAATACTAATGGATTATGGCGATACTTAAAAACTCACAAGAATATATGATCCGGTGTGCATAGATCAAACTAAATAAGTGATTTACTAGCGCCATCTGTTATCGTCAACAGAGTGTCATATTTTACGTACTGTAGCTAAATTTACAGTTTTCTTCAACTTTTTAAAACTTTTTGAAAAAACTAACCGCGATTACGACTATCACCGGATCAGATAAACTTGCTTGCTATGAATATCCGTTGATAAAACGGAGTTACTTTACCAACATTGCATTCAAAACAAAAAGCTATCTCTTTTATTCCCTCTGCAATAACTGAGATAGATATATGTTTATACAATAACTTCGATGTAAACCCAAAATGTTATTTACGAACGAACATATTTGCATGTAATACCTATATCTAAAAACTTACTTAGTAAAACTTATTTTACTGCGAGTTATCAATATAATACTAATGTAATACTACTGTTTTTGTTAATGGCAGTTTATAATTTAATGTGAAAATCATTCAAAAATCATACTAACAAATAACAATTTATCTTAATTAAAAAGTTATAACGTTAGGATTCGAATAACATACATGTAATAATGATGTCTGTTATTATAATAATTAAATCTATATTAATAGTGTAAACATTATTTTACGTAATAGTACAGAAGCAGGCAGACATTCTTATTCTAGTTTCTTTAAAAGAAATTGATGGATGTACCTTTATTCTTTGAATATCAATTTGTTAAAAAACAAAATTACCATGTCATTGAGTGTTTTTTGCCCAAGATAAAGAAATACCTAAGTTAAATCTATACTATTATAATAAAGCGTAAACACACACTTCTTTGTTTCTTAAGATCTCAGCAATTACAGCATATTTTTTGAATAATTCTTTTTTTAATAAAAAGCCCTACACTTACGTCACGCTTTAGATGATATATTTTTATGTTATTTAACTTAGGGGTAAATAAATTGTAAAAAACCTTGTTATGGGAAACCATGGGAGACCATACAATACAAGATGCCAACAACAAGGAAGATAGCCATGGAAAGGTAATTTGTATTTTGATACTTGCTAGTGAGAATTTGACAATTGTAAACGACTAAATTTTCACAATTTCATGCGGATGAAGCCGCACGGGAACAGCTAGCTTTAAAATAAAAGTAATTATTACGGTCAACAACTTATACTAATTACTGCTAATGTGCTACCAAAATACTATCATTTTGATTCTATTTAAACTTAAAGTATCTTTTCAATATTCTATTTTGTTATATTATAATAATTTAATTAGTATCAAACAATATTAGTAAGATTATTATGTCATTTAAACTTACTATCTTGTACTTGTAAAACTTAAAACACTACAGTGGAAACCCACGGTTATACTATTTCGTTTTCAATTTTCTAAACTAGACACTAAAGTCTCGTTAACCCTGCTTAAAGTGCCGTTTAATAGTTTCTCGAGAACGGGTTCGTTGAACTTTTCAATAATACCAGTGATGGATACATATGAACCAGCGAAGAGAGCTACAAGAGACATGATCCCGATCAAGCAATTCTTCCACAGGATCCAGTTAAAGTGGCCGAGACCGCGGTCCCACTTGTGGACTGTCTCGACCACGGCTGGGATGAGAAGACCAAGGCTGGACAGGAAGATGGCTCCGCAAAGACTGATGAATAACTCCAGATCAGGGAAAGCGGCCGCCAGAGCAACTGGAAAAAAAAACAAAAAAATGACATCTGCAGCTTTATTGAATTAAAATAAAATATGTTTCCTAAGTACAGATGTGTTAATTTATAAAAATTACTACTTGATTATCATCATATAAAAATCTTACTAATGTTATAAATGCAAAATTTTAGATGGATGGATTGTTTGTTAGAGTTTGTAGCCTGAACGGCTGAACGGATATCGATGAAATTTGGCATAGACGTAGGGGGTAGTCTGGAAGAACACATAGGATATTTACTTTAGTATTTTTTAATTCCGCGTGGACGGAATCGCGGGCGAAAGCTAGTAGTCCATAAAATGTTAAAAGATACCTCATGATATAAGAAGTGGCAAAACATGATATATAAATAAAATAACTAGAGCATGTGTGATATTTAAGAAATAAAAAAACAAGTTTTGCAATCACTTCTAAGAATAACTTTATATCATAAACAAATGTATTTATAGAATACAATAAAATGGCAAAGGTTTAGACATTTTGATTTCTGACTTTCATATCTGATACTAACCTGAGCCAACGACAGCTGCGGTGCGAATTGATATCTGTGTGATATTGTGATACTTTACGGATATCTTGTGATGTATCTGTCTCCAGATCATCTCCATGGGCACGTAGAACTGCAGACTGTACGTGAAGAGGATAGCCAGCGCCATCAGGATCTTCGCACTTTGAGCCAATCTGGAGATTTAAAAAATCACAATATTTTTTTTAAATTCTAATTTATTCCAGAGTTTTCAAAGGTTAAGAATACTTGATAAAGTCTCAAACAGCTAGTATATACCAATAGAGATAAGATTTGTATTTTCATGTCTTGAAATAACTGAAGATTTATAGGGCCGATTTCAAAAATTCTTTCCCCTATTAATAGCTAATGTCATGGAGTAACATCAGGTCAATTTATTACAATTTTTTTTTCGAGCGGACGAAGACGCGAGCAACAGTTAGTATACATTCTTACAATTCGTCTTGGGGTAGATTAAGAGTGACACTTCCACGGACGTCGTCACCGAATCTGATGTAGCCGAAGAAGCCGACAACGCCGTACAATCCGATGACGATGGTCATGGCGACGTTGAGCACGCCCGGACAGCCGAGGAACTGCTCCGGCTTGGCCATCTCGTTCTCCACTGGCATCACCACGCCGATGCCTTCCATCGCAAATATAACAGTACTGAAACCATAAGCAAAGAGGTAATTGAGTGCGATTTTTGTTATAACATAAATATCTACGATTTCGTGTTACAGTAAAACCGAGAATTTGTACTTTTCTACGACAAAAATCTATTGTATTCTTTAAATTGGAACATTGTATTGCGATGTTCAATTGTTTCTGTAATTCACTGGAGAAATTCTTTTCTCAAAGTGCCCGTAGCTCTAATAAAAGTCAAATATCATAGAAATTGAACGAAATGATTTGAATATTTCAGATTCTTATATTTGAAACCTGTTAAGATAATTTTCATAGCTCGAAATTAATATTAGAAGAATATTTTTCTTCAAAGGAAAGAAATATTGCTGATATAAAAATAGATTTTTCATGATTGGATCTATCAAAACCTACGCATTACCATATTTTGAACTAAAAAAATCCTTAAATATCGATCATTCAAACTATAACCTCAAAAGATCATTAGTGTCTATGGTTGTCAATAAAATAGTCTCATAGGCCCATAAGAACTGAGATCACTGCTACGTACTTACCTCATAAAGAGTGGCCATTGTGTAAAACTCGCCACCATCTCTCTTTCAGCCGGATTGGGAAGGTCTCCGAAGATATAATACATTGTGATCGCAAAGCAAATGACGAGCAGTACGTTGGCTATCGCGGAGAATGGTACCAGCCATTTCAAGTTCCGTATCTGACAGATCAGCACTAGAGGCACCAGTGTCAGCGCGCAGTATGTTTCTACTGACAATTTGTATTCCGGTGCGTAGACATCTAAGACCTGTGGATATGTAGATGATTAATAAAAAATAAAAAGAGGAACTGAGAAGAAGGAGGAGGCTCCTTTTAGGAAGTCGGTTAAAAAGCTTACTGTTGTAAGTTTTCGTTTTCTGAGTATTGAAATAGGAGAAGTTTAGATTTTATTAAGTGGGTGAAAATCTTATTTGTTTACCATGATTTTAGAATATAAAGAAGTTTAATTTAAATTAAAACAGTTAGTTAATTCTCTATATAATCAAAATAATTACGTTACCTCTTTAAAGTTTTCAGCAATGAATACAATGTAAACGCAGAGAGCGGCCAAGTAAGTACACGTCAGTGCGTAATCCACGAAGGTCCTGTACAAAGACAGACATGTAAATATATACGTTTAAATAAAAAATCTATGAAATAAATATTTCAGCTACGCAAATACAAGTAACGCGATATTCAATTATTCTTTACGTTAAAAAAATAATTTAATTGTAAGGGTAATGAAACTATCGAAAAACAAATAATAACTATTTAGTTTTATTTTCCAAAGCTAGTGTCATAAATCAGAAACAAATCAATAAAAAGGATAGCTATTTTTTTTAGTGTAAACTGGTTTTTATTTTCAATTCGTTTTTAGAAAGATCTTTTGTCCATTTAAAGTTATGTCAAAGAAAAACTCTACTTTCGCCATGTGAATCAAAAACATAAGAAAGGAGGACGCGCCCTTCATGATTTTCCTCGTTACGACTAGATTTTTTAACGTTTTGTTACCTTATTTTATTAAAAAATGTTATACCGTAATATTGTCTTCATTTTATTAGACAAGATTTTGCATATTTTTAATTACGGTCAGAGTTAAATTTTAATTAAATTTCCACTTTAATACTTAAATAAAAATGTTTACTAACCTAGCAAAATTAGCCCAAGGTCGTAAAGGTTTAGGTCCAAATTCAAAAGCCGCTCCGCAAGTCTCTGCAAAACCCATTGAAGGTTTCTTTGCGTCCACACATACTTCTTGCGATGTTTTCACCTAGAAATAAACCAATATTAGGTATTGCTTACATTGATTTCTTACAAATTACATAAGCGGAAAGCCTTGTATCACATTAAACAAGAACTAAATAACTTCTAGATGAATATTGAAATGACGCTGAACTATTTTTACACTAAGAATTAATTACAAACAATAAAAAAATAAACAAACAAAATAGTTCAATTGCATCTTCTTGATCAATTAGAATGATGATCGTTTGTACATTTTTAGTTCGTTTTATCAAGATTTTATATGACATTTGAACATGGTTTTACTATCTTAATAATGTGTGTCAATTTGAAATGGCTTATGTAGTTATCCTTGTATTATATAACGAGGACACATTTAATGCAGTAAAGAAACGTAATGCAATATAATGCGTGAAGATAGTAAAACGAAAATATAATATCAACACTTAAGTCCTCATCATTATCAACTTGCCCTTATCCCTTATGTAGGGTCGGCACAGTATGTGCTGCTCTTCCATACATCTCTATCAGCCGTCATATCTGAATTCATCCGTAACCTCTCAACGCTACAGCACATAGTGTAATAATGTTTTGGCTTTTATCAACACTTAAGTATTTCATGTATAATTTATGACAGAGGTCAGCTTAACTTAACTAAGCAAGTTTTATTGCTATACATAAAATCATGCAAAATACAAGGTCTTCTTTCCCCCAAAATGAATATATGTCCTTTATACAAATTGTATATTGTAGTCATTGAATTGCGGAGGGACTGCGAAATCTTTCACTATTCATGTTAATTTTATTTCAAACGTTTGGTATTGTTGAAAATATCATACTAATATTATAAATGTGAAAGTTTAGATGAATGGATGAACGTTTATTGGAGTTTTTAGCTAGAACTGCTGAACGAATCTCGATGAAATTTGACATAGATGTAGAGGATATTCTGTAAGTACATATAGGCTACTTACTATTGTTTTTTTAATTCGATTCACAGAGTCGCGTTGGAAAGCTATATTTTAGAATGTTTATATGATTGTTGAAAATTATTTAAGACTTACCAAAATATAAACGCAATGCGTGCAAATAAATCCGACCACGAAAGTACCGATGCCTCCAATTATAAGTCCAGCATTCTTGAAGGCCGCCGGCATTGCTAGGATGCCGGAGCCCAATGAAGACTTTAGTAAGTGCACCAACGATCCAATCGTTCTACAAGTAAAATTATTCACAATTTAAACCACAGTAAATATAGCGCGATTTTTTTTATCAATTTGTAAATTTCTCAATGTAAAGGAAACCTTTAATAAGATTATAAGAAAAAGACGAACAAGATTAGTCACAATCGGGGAAGCGGAATTGATATAGAACAAGGTTCACGAATGAACATTCATCATTCAGAATATAATAGATTAAATAGCTGTGGTTCTTGTAAGCGATGTTAACCATTAATCTTAAGCAACGATAGACTCCAGCGTAAAAACTTGAGATTCCATGAATGCAAAAAAGCAAATTGATTTTTTTATATTGATATTATTTTCTTTAGAGATATCAAATATCCAACAGAAGAACTACAGTTGCGTTCCCAATTTTATGCCTATACCGACGTGAATTTGGTCAGGTGGCCTATTTTTTTTTAATTTAAGTGATAGAAGAAAAATTAATGGCCAGTTTCCGAGATATGTTCAACAAATCGTTGGTCTTTTTGGTTCGATAAATTCTTGAAATGCGTTTCCGAACTACGTGACTTGAGTTTTACTCCTTTGAAATTTAGTTTAACTTAACACTTATGAATCTTCAGTAACCCAGCATTAAAAGTGGATCGGAACGATTTCATAACCGCGACTCTACAGCAAAATAGATCCAAAAAATCCTATTATCCTCTATCTATTTCATTCTCTTTTTGAAAAATGGATATAACGCTATGATATTCCTTGGCGCAACTCACAGTTAGACACATTTTAAAAATCGAGTCGCGTGTCAGTTGTTTACGATCAATAAAATTGTGATTACGATATACGTGAACTGCATTAAAAAACTGTTTTGTTGAATGTTGACAAATCATGAATTTTTTGGTTTTCTGCCAACTGATAGAAGATATTGTTCACCTTGGTTATTGTAAGCCATGTACTAAGAGCGTATGCACATCTGAAACTAAATTATCGTATAACAGTTAATCTGGCTTTGGAGCATATATGGAGGTACTGCTCGATGTTTAGTTGAGCAACTAAATAGTTGAATGGGCTGCGAAACAATCGACAATCGCGCAGCACTTTTGCGATTGTTTAGTCAAAGGTCTAAACGTCCTAATTTGAAGAGTGACGTTTAAATGAGACTCCACTCCTGACTGTTTCATCCATTTTTGTATTCTTATTGTATTTTTCATAAGAGTGTGTTCTAAACTGTGTATCCTAATAAAGTTGGTCCACATTTATTAAAAATAATAAGAAAGGTCATCTGTGATATATGAACCAATTATATTTAAATGAGACAACAGAAAACAATGTATTAAGCAATTTTAGCTCGCACCTGCGACTAAAGTTTCATTATCATACAATTCGCAAGGTATTTTTCAATATTTTATCTGAGAACATATCCAATATAGACAAATAAAAAGAATAATTTTATGTTATGTTCTGTACTAAACTAAGTTCATAGTTACAAACCCTTTAAATAAGTTATAAGCGTTAAAACTAACTTGTGTTAAATTTTTAAAAAAAATGTTTGTTAATAATAAACGCTTTGATAATTAAAGTAAAGAAATGCTTAAAAATGTGAATTAAACACAATTTACCTTTCAAAATCATATAAATGCAGACAATATAAAACCCAAAGAAATTACCAACCAATTTATTTCATTCAAGTAATACGTAATTTTAAAGATTCCATCAAACAATCTGGAATTTGTCAATAAGCTATTACGTTTTATTTTTAGAAATAAACGAGCTGAATCAATTCACAATCAACGATGGTAATTTAATAGCACGCAAACGAATTCAGTTTCATCTCTCGGGACATCGTTTTAATCTAATTTAAGGATTTGGCGTACTTTGGTTTTCACGACAAAGTAACATTAAAAACAAAATTAAGTAGATCTTTGTTTTGGGAAGTCTTTAGAAAACATTTCTAAAAATAAAAAGGTATCTTATAGCTGGAGGATATTAATAATATAAAAATCGAAACAAACCTCATTTGTGTGTAGATTTTTAACAATCACAACATGTTTTTTGTGTTTTTTTTTAACAAAGAACCTTACATTTACGAAATACTTGAATTATGTTGTACATTTTGATGCTATTAAACTTAACTAAGTCAACGTAAATTCTCCAAAGCATAGTTAAGGTGTTTTAACTAATATTTGCAAATTAAAATATGATTGTTCAATTAATTTGAAAGTTCCATAATTATCTAATAGATGGCGTTGTCGGTTGCTACGCTTACGAAGTCTGCGCGTGGCTGGTTAACTATACTTACGAGTTAGGATGCTCAACTTTTCTGTGCTCGAACGGGTTGTAAGCCTTTTCATTGATAACTTCCTTTGAGCCGAGACTCAGCGTCGATTGGAAGCCGGGATTCGTCGCCAAATTAGCACTGAAATACATTTTTAATGATTAAAATGATCAAAGACCTAGGCCATAGATATCCGCAATTTCGAATGCGTTGTATATTTTTATTTATTGTGGAAGGGACACACAACATAGGAAATATCCTAAGTTCTTCCCCTCCTCCGTTCAGTATAATATACTGAGAAAAAATTTAACAATCAAAACTTACGTCGAATTAAAGTTGTCCAAGACGATCGAACCTTTTTTCTCTTCGAGTCTCATTGTTACAGGTTTTCTGAAATAAAAATACAACTTATTACATAAAGTTAAATTAAAATTAATTACAAAATAAATTACCTTTTTACGAAGTTAAATAACGTGTAAGGTCGTTTCAATTATGAAAGAAAAATAGGGAATATGTAAGTATAATATGAAAGTGAGTTCCGATATATATTTAGGATATCCTAAACAAACAATGATTTTACCATAAGTACTCAGTGCCGATAAGAAAAATGCTTATGTACATTTTAAGTTATAACATGCAAAACTGTATTATTATATTTAGTGCTTACAATACATTTTTTTTTTACTTTCAAAAGATTTCTACATACATCGAGACATTTATGTATCAACCCAAAACTGCAATTTCCATCAATTAAAACCCTTCTTTTTTTAAATCTTTGTTTAAAGTAATTTTTCTTTCCAGCCAGTCAGTAATGAAAAAAAATATTTTGATTGTAACAATATATTTTTTATTAATAGCATTTTATAAAAAAATATTTATATTTCGCAATTGCTGGTAACTTATTACAATAACTATATATAAAAATATTCAATACATTAACCGTTTTTAAATACTGCAGTCAAGTTTTGACGCGTTAAAATGATCATAGTTGCACGACACAGGACTTGTAAAGAAAACTAAAAACTAAATACTTGTGCATAATTAGCAATTCCAATAAGTTACTATGAGCTTAAAAACCTTTCATAGTTTTACATGACTGTCATTATCGTTTTGTAACAATATTTATGAGAGATTTGTAAATTCTCAACTATTTCATAATTATTCTTCTCGTTCCCTTACCACACATTCCCTTGGTAATCGAGTCACGTTTACTTTATGCTTGCAAAAAATGTAACGAAACACACTGCTGTACAAAATAAGTTCCTAGATGGCGCTATACATGTCTTTGTATTTTTAATATTATTAACATAATTCGTGACATAAAGTAATTGAAACTATGAGAAGTAAATATAGTGCAAGACTAATGTTTTTAAAATTACAGGTAAATAGACTTTTTGTGAGTTAGAATTAAAATTATATCGTAATTAGAACAAGCATTTAATAAAGAACTTTCATTTTATCATTCAGAAAGAAATCGTTGTATTTCGATCAAGGTTTTAATTTTCTCATAATTAATTGATTGCAATTGAATTGCAAAAAAACACGAGACATTAATTAGTAAATTACACGAGCAAAAAAAGAATCAATAAGATTTTTATTGGATTAACAGCTACAAAGTTAAAAAGATTTATAATTACTTCCAAATATGTCTTTAAAATATGAGCAAAAAACAATGTTCCATTTTATACAAGGCTTATCCAGTATCTTTGTAGCACTGGTACGTCTTGCGATTCTTATAAAACGCATCGTCAAAATAAAGAATTTATGCGGCCCTTTTTTGGATGCGAATTTTTCGAGGCTGGTCCATCATTACAGTTTTTGGCGGGAGACCGGTCGACGATGTCTACGAGCTGATTTCGAAGTTTCGACGCATGCGGGTCGATGCACTTTGAGCTTTGTTGAGAAATCCGTCACTTTTCAAGGCCCACATACAACTGACGTACGAATAAGACTCATGCATTTCACAAGACCAGTCAAAACATTAGCAAGTAAGGTTATTTATGTAAGTAAACAACACGATATGTTATTTAAAGAAACAATATATTACAAATATATTTATATACTATAGAATCGTTTATTTATAGTAACAATTTAGCATTGTTAATTTCTTACAATCAGAACTTTTAAGCAAATCTAATTGAAATGTTTTCTTTTCAGCAGACAAAGAAGTATAATTGTTATGGATTTATTAAAAGTTCTTGATATATACAACTATGTAAGTTAACCTCAAATAATAAAGCGCTCATTAGTCCGTCAGTTTGAAATACGAAATATCACGTAACATATACGTTCAACCTCAAATATCCAGAGCTTCGAAGAACCAACAATTTAAGAGAAATAACAAGGACCTTTATAGCATGTTCATAAAAGGTAAATTAATTGCCAAGCATCGTCAATCTCTCTGAATTCGATAACAAAATTAATCCAGCCTCATACTAATTACATTCCGAGATCGATTGGGACATTTTTAGGTTAATTAAAAATTTCTGACGTAAAAAAGATTTCCCCAAAGTAATTAGTCAGTTGGCTTCGAACTACAATTTTATATGATTTCTCTTAACAAAAAGTTGATGCAATTTCGTACGCGGGAGTATTTATCAAACTCGTCAATCATGATTGACATTTATGAATTGAAGAAAATTACATTCAATATTAAAGGTTTTAAACCATCAATCTGTACATCCCTTTTTGGTAAACATGAGGACCATAATTGGTAGCATATATTTAAAAATTTAAACATTTTCAATACTAGAATCTGAATGTGTAAAAACATTAAATTCCGATTACCTCATTATGTTAAAATACAGTACATTATGCGTTGTATAAATATTGAGGTTATAAAATTAGATGTATACTCAAACATGGTTTTGATGTGAAATTTTCCACAGACTTGTGAAATTGCAAAGTACTCCGTAATCTCAATGTGACAAGCACAAATGCGTAGTATTTCGTATTTCAAAATCACGGATAGAGAATTAACGTTAAGACTTTGTTTTAACATAATCCTTAAAAGCATAATCTGAATCACGCAATTCAAATGTTTTTTTTATTTGTAACACGTTTTTAGGAGTGAGTTTGTATAAAGTAATTTACAAGTATTGTTAATATGACCGTCCGTTTATCTATACTAATATAATAAAGCGTAAACACTCACTTCTTTGTTGCCTAAAATGTCAGCAATTACAGCATATTTTTGAATAATTCTTCTTTTTAATAAAAAGCCCTAAACTTACGTCACGCTTTAGGCTATATATTTTTACGTCATTAAACTTCGGGGGTAAACATTTTAGATAAAACCCATAATGTGGGAAAGAGACCATAAGTTGCTGCCAACATCAAGGAAGCAAGATTGCCGAGGTTTGTCATGTTATGTCATTTTGGCATTTGCTATTGATAATTTGACAAACGTAAACAATAATATAAAATTTTCATAATTTCATGCGGATGAAGCCGCACGGGAATATGGATATTTTGTAAATCATTTGTGTCGAAATATCCAACACTCAATGGAATGTACATATTGAGTTAATGATCGAAACATTTTACGTCCTAAATACTTAAGAATCGTAGTAGCGTATTTTAGTGGTTTTTTAGTTGTTATTGTAATATATGTGTGTCGGAGTTGGGTCTTTCTCCCGACATCATTGCTACCGAGTCTTGGTTTCGTGGGCGTCATTTGGGTGAAGTGCGAGCATTAAACCACTAGAGACACGGATTAACACAATATAATTCGTAATCTACACTTATCACATAGCAAATCAACAACACCGACCGAGC